CATAGAATCATAGAGTTGGAAGAGACCTCATGGGACATCCAGTCCAACCCCATTCTGCCAAGAAGCAGGTTGGATGGCCCATGAGGTCTCTTCCAACTCTGATTCTATGATTCGTTGACCTTGAGTTTGGGAGTTGCAGTTCATCTACATCCAGAGAGCATTGTGGACTCAAACAACGATGGATCTGGACCAAACTTGGCATGGGTACTCAATATGCCCAAATGTGAATACTAGTGGAGTTTGGGGAAAATAGAGTATGTCATTTGGGAGTTGTATTTGCTGGGATTTATAGTTCACCTACAATCAAAGAGCATTCTGAACTCCACCAGTGATGGAATTGAACCAAACTTGGCACACAGAACTCCCATGACCAACAGAAAGTACTGGAAGGGTTTGGTGGGCATTGACCTTGCGTTTTGGAGTTGTAGTCACCTACATCCAGAGAGCACTGTGGACTCAAACAATGATGGATCTGGACCAAACTTGGCATGAATACTCAATATGCAAAAATGTGAACACAGATGGAGTTAGGGGAAAATAGAACTTGATATTTGGGAGTTATAGTTGCTGGGATTTATAATTCACCTACAATCAAAGAACATTCTGAACCCCACCAATTAGATAATTGAACCAAACTTGGCACACAGAAGTCCCATGACCAACAGAAAGTACTGGAAAGGTTTGGTGGGCATTGACCTTGAGTTTGGGAGTTGTAGTTCACCTACATCCAGTGAACAGGAGGAGGTGGGAGGATGCACAGTCTGTTTCCAAAAAGGAAAAGAAGGACAGGCGGAGAGATCTTCAGCTTTCTCTGTCAAAGGGCTTCCTAAGACCAGATCCATCGTTGTTTGAGTCCACAATGCTCTCTGGATGTAGATGAACTGCAACTCCCAAACTCAAGGTCAACGAATCATAGAATCAGAGTTGGAAGAGACCTCATGGGCCATCCAACCTGCTTCTTGGCAGAATGGGGTTGGACTGGATGTCCCATGAGGTCTCTTCCAACTCTATGATTCTATGATTCTCTGTCAAAGGGCTTCTTAAGACCATCACCCCTGACAGATGGCCATCCAGCTTCTGTTGAAAAGCTTCCAAAGAAGGAGCCCCCACCACACTCCGGGGCAGAGAGTTCCACTGCTGAACGGCTCTCACAGTCAGGAAGTTCTTCCTCATGTTCAGATGGAATCTCCTCTCTTGTTGTTTGAAGCCATTGTTCCTTTGTGTCCTCTGACACCCCTCACGACGCCCCCCCCCCGAGGTCCCGACCCCAAGGTTGAGAAACACTGGTCTGCACTGACAGTTTAGTGCAGTTTGAAACTACATTATGTCGCAGCCTCGATGGGCCTTGAGAGTTACAACCCTGGTAAAAATCAGCTCCAGCTGTAAGGATTTAATCAAAAGCACTGAGATGAGGGCAGCACATTTAAAAATGGGTTGTCATCTCATCCCTTCTTTGAAATGTATATGAAAGCCACATTGATCTCGCAGAACAAAAACACCTTTTGGCACCAAAGACAGTTCCGTCCATCTATAGAAAGCTTTCGTTCGGTTTGACAACAATAGCACAGGGTTTGGTTTTTGTGCTCCAGTGGCATTTTCAATTCTTTGCTGCCTGTAATTTGAATTTAAATGCAGAAGGCAAGTCAGTGCGGGAAGGAGAAAGAAGAAGCAGGTGGGATTTTAGCAACAAAAAACTCGATTGTGGAATTCTCTCTATGCAAAGAAGGAAGCATTTGAATTCTTGGAGACCGCTTTCTTTCTCAAAGTGGAATGTTGATGCATACCTCCACCCGAAGTCCCATTTGCAATGTCATTTCGCAGGGGCGGGGGGGGGGGGGGGGGGGGGGGAAGGGGACTTATGTTTCATTCACTACTTTTGTATGGAAGATGTTTTGCTTTTGTTGCCTCACTTATGGTGCATCTACCTATCTATATAAAAATGCTGTGTTTGTATTGGGTGACATCGTAACTGGATGAATTGTCACCAAATTTGGTCACAAGACACCTACTACATACAGCTTAATGGTGCAACATTAGAAAATGTGCACCGTTTTCGCTTCCTTGGCAGCCACCTCTCCACAAAAGTCAACTTTGACACTGAAATACAACACTGCCTGAGCTCTGCGAGTGCAGCATTTTTCCAAATGAAGCACATAGTGTTTGAGGACCGGGACATCCGTAGGGATGCCAAGGTGCTTGTTTATGAAGCGATTGTCTTCCCAGCCCTGCTATATGCCTGCGAAATGTGGATTGTCTACAGATGTCACATGCAACTCCTAGAACGATTCCATCAGCGCTGCCTTAAAAAAATCTTGCAAATCTCTTGGGAAGACAAGCGGACAAATGTCAGCGTGCTGGAAGAAGAAGCAAAGGCCACCAGCATTGAAGCAATGGTCCTCCGCCATCAACTCCGCTGGGCCGGCCACGTTGTCCGGATGCCTGACCACCGTCTCCCAAAACAGTTGCTCTACTCTGAACTCAAGAATGGAAAACGGAATGTTGGTGGACAGGAAAAGAGATTGAAAGATGGGCTCAAAGCCAACCTTATTTATTTATTTATCGTGTCATCAGCAACCATTGTATTACAATTCTAACAGAGCAAAACAAACACACAGATTAAAAAGAAAAAGTAAAAAAAACACACAGATTTTGCAAATCTGGTACTTGGTTAAATGTCCTTTCACCAGTAACTGGCCACTTAGAGTGCCTCTGGTGTTACTATAAGAAGGTCCTCCATTGTGCCTGTGGCAGGGCTCAGGTTGCATTGCAGCAGGTGGTCAGTGGTTTGCTCTTCTCCACACTCGCATGTTGAGGATTCTACTTTGTGGCCCCATTTCTTAAGATTGGCTCTGCATCTCGTGGTGCCAGAGCGCAGTCTGTTCAGCGCCTCCCAAGTCGCCCAGTCTTCTGAGTGCCCAGGGGGGAGTCTCTCAGAGAAGCCTCCTCGGAGGATTGCAAGACATCCGGGCGTCCCCTGGGCAACGTCTTCGTAGACGGCTGATTCTCTCGATCCAGAAGCAACCAGGGACGACTTGCAGCCAACCTTAAAAACTCTGGCATTTTATATTATTTTATTTTGTTTTATATTTTATATTATTTTATATTTTATACTTATATTATTTTATATTTGATTTGTATTTGAACATAATATATTTATTTTGCATTCATTTTATATCATATATTATTTTATGTTTTCTATATTTCATTTTATTTGTATATTTTATTTTGTTTTATATTTTATATTATTTTAGTTTTATATATTTTATTTTATTTGTATATTTTATATTTATATTATATTATATTTTATGATTATTTGCATATTTTACATTTATTTTATATCATATTTTATATTTATTTGTATATTTTATATTATCTTATGTTTTATATATTTGATTTGATTTGTATATTTTCATTTTATATTTCATTTGATATTTTTTATATTTTATATTATACTTTATATTATTTTATATTTTTATTTATTTATTTATTTCGTATTATATTTCAGGCGATATTATTTTATATTTTATATTATATTTTATTTTATATATTTTATTTTATTTGTATATTTTATTTTGTTTTATATTTTGTATTATATTATATTTCATTTTATATTTATATTTCATTTGTATATTTTATATATTTACTTTATATTTGTTTTATATCATATTTTATATTATTTTATATATCTTATTTTGTTTTATATTTTATATTATTTTATATTTTATTTGTATTTGTACATAATATATTTATTTTGCATTCATTTTATATCATATCTTATATTATTTCATGTTTTCTATATTTCATTTTATTTGTAAATTTTATATTTATTTTATATCATATTTTATATTTATTTGTATATAATATTTTATATGTATTTTATATTTATATTATTTTATATTTTATTTGTATATTTTATATTTATTTTATATTATATTTTATGATTATTTGTATATTTTAAATTCATTTTATATCATATTTTATATTTTATTTGTAATTTTACATAATATATTTAGTTTATGTTCATTTTATATCATATTTTATATTATTTTATGTTTTATATATTTTATTTCACTTTATTTATATATTTTCATTTTATATTTCCTTTGATATTATTTTATATTTTATATTATACTTTATATTATTTTATATTTTATTTTATTTCATTTTATTTCAATGCCCGAGCGGGATTCGAACCCAGTACCCCAGAATCGTAGTGGCCCCTCCCTCTCCCGCCTCCTTATTTGCATCGGAAGCGGGCGCAACCAATCCCGCTCTTGAATCACATTCCTAGCCACGCCCTTTTCTCTCTTATTTGCATCGGAATCTTGCCAAACCAATCCCACTCTCAGGCCTCATTCCTAGCCACGCCCCCTTTCAGTGTCTCTTATTTGCATGCGAACCTTGAAAGGCCCATTCGACTGCAATCTGTAGCCACGCCCCTTTCCCCGCCCCCTTTGTTATTGACATATTGTTAAACCACTCCCACTCTCAGGCCTCATTCTTAGCCACGCCCTTTTTCAGTCTCTTCTCTTTGCATCCGAACCTTGAAAGGCCCATTCTACTGCAATCTGTAGCCACGCCCCTTTCCCCGCCCCCTTTGTTATTGACATATTGTTAAACCAATCCCACTCTCAGGCCTCATTTTTAGCCACGCCCCCTTTCAGCCTCTTTGCATCCGAACCATTCTACTGCAATCTGTAGCCCCGCTTCTTTCCCCGCCCCCTTTATTATTGACATATTTTGCACCCTATCACGGAGCCCGCTTCCTGCAAAACCACTCCCACTCTCAGGCCTCATTCTTAGCCACGCCCCCTTTCAGTCTCTGCATCCGAACCTTGAAAGGCCCATTCTACTGCAATCTGTAGCCACGCCCCTTTCCCCGCCCCCGTTGTTATTGACCTCATTCCTAGCCACGCCCCTTTTGTTATTGACATATTCTGCACCCTATCAGGGAGCCCTCCTCCCCTTCCGGAAGTGCGTATGGAAGGGCGGGCCTTCCCGCGCGCCCGCTTTGTGAGGCTGCTTGTGTGGCGGAAGCGGAAGCGGCCAGGGGCGGGTTGCGCGGCAACCGGGACCGTTGGAGGCCCGAGGCGTTCGTGAGGCGATTGGAGAGGCGGCGAACGGTCTTCGAGCGGAGTTCTCTGGGTGGGTTCCCCTTCCTCTCTCCTCCCTTTTGACCCCTTGGGAACGGAAAGGAAGGCTTGGGAGCGAGGAGAAGGCCTCGGGCCTGATGTTTGGATCTGGAGGGTTCAAGGCAGGCCTGGGCCAACTTGGGCCTTCCCGCCTGGTGTTTTGGACTCCAACTACCACCGGAATTGTGGGAGTTGGAGTCCAAAACACCTGGAGAGAGGGCCCAAGTTGGCCCAGGCCTGATCTATGGTATGGAAGAGAACAGAAGGCCCCCTCCTCTTTAGGGCTGGTTTAAGGGAATATATTAGATCATTAGGGGTGTGTGTGTGTGTCTATATATATATACCTTGCATGTATGTGTGTATGTGTATACAGCATATATATGTATTATTTATTTATTTATTTCACAGTTTTGTATACCGAGCTTCTCAACCTCATTGAGGGACTCAGCCCGGTTTCCAGCCATAAAAAACATATACACTCATTAAAATATCCTATATCACAATTACAAAAACAACTTTAAAAACACTATATATAAAACTACTGGGGTCAGTCGTCCTATTAAGATGGATCTACATCAACTTCCATCCAGGGTCCTATGGTGTTGTCTCATTCATCGAAGGCCTGACTCCACAGCCACGTCTTCACCCGTTTCCTAAATGTTAGGATGGATGGGGCGGTTCTGGCCTCCAGAGGGAGAGTTCCAGAGTCGCGGGGCCACCACCGAGAAGGCCCTGTCCCTCGTCCCCACCAGGCACGCTTGCGAGGCTGGTGGGACCGAGAGCAGGGCCTCTCCAGATGATCTTAGTAATCTTGATGGTTCGTAGGGGAGAATACGTTCGGAGAGGTAAACAGGGCCGGAGTCGTTTATTGTATGTGATATTATGGTTGGAAACCGGTCTATATATGCCTGCTTCTCAAGCACGGATGGCGGGTACGAGAGATAGGGCCTTCTCGGTGGTGGCTCCTCGGCTGTGGAATGCCCTTCCCACGGACATTAGGCTGGCACCATCTCTAATGGTGTTCCGCAAAAAACTGAAGACCTGGCTCTTTGTGCAGGCGTTCGAATAACTAGTGCAATGATTGGCAATGAACATAGGAATGGAACAAAGGATGATGAATTTCGGATTATGTTTTTAGATGGTGAGACGATAGTGATTGGTTAATGTAGTAATTCTATTGTTTGGATAATATGTTATTTGTTAATTGTTGTTAAATTATTGCATTGAATTATTGGTGTTTTTACTGGTTGTGAGTCGCCCTCGGGCTGAGAACAGCAATATATAAGTAAAGTAAATAAATAAATAATATGTGTGTATATATGTCAGAGATGTATTGATTTGTGCATGTGTATTAAGATCATCTGGAGAGGCCCCGCTCTCGGTCCCGCCATAATCACAAGTACGGTTGGCGGGAACGAGAGACAGGGCCTTCCCAGTGGTGGCCCCTCGGCTATGGAACGCCCTTCCTAGGGAGATTAGATTTTTTTTTTGTCGTGTCAGGAGTGACTCCTGGTGTGAGAGAATTGGCCGTCTGCAAGGACGTTGCCCAGGGGATGCCTGGATGATTTTGATGTTTTTATCATCCTTGTGGGAGGCTTCTCTCATGTCCCCGCATGAGGAGCTAGAGCTGAAAGAGGGAGCTCATCCGCCTCTCTCTGGATTTGAACCTGCGACCTGTTGGTCTTCAGTCCTGCCGGCACAGGGCTTTAACCCACTGCGCCATGCGCCACCGGGGGCTCTGGGAGATTAGATAATAACAATAATAAATAAATAAATAAAACTTTATTTGTACCCCGCTACCATCTCCCCAAGGGAGAAAGGACCAAGGCAGAGACATCTCCAGCTCATCCCTTGTTTGGGTATCAGCCAGCACGTCAACGACTTAAATCAAGTTTTCTTAGATCTACAGAGACACTCGCTGGAACACCCCAGCAAGCGAGAGTCCAAAAGTGGCAGGCCCAAACTCAGCACCTCAAGCCGTGGGTGATACCAGATGAGAGACTCCCCCCTGGGCACACAGAAGACTGGGCGACTTGGAAGGCGCTGAGCAGACTGCGCTCTGGCACCACGAGATGCAGAGCCAATCTTAAGAAATGGGGCTACAGGGTGGAATCCAAACAAACAAACAGATTTTTTTAAAAAAAACAAAAACACAGATTTTGCAAACTTGGTAGTTGATTAAATGTCCTTTGACCAGTATCTGGCCACTTGGAGTGCCTCTGGCGTTGCCGCAACAAGGTCCTCCATTGTGCATGTGGCAGGGCTCAGGGTGCATTGCAGCAGGTGGTCAGTGGTTGGCTCTTCTCCCCACTCGCATGTCGTGGATTCCACTTTGTGGCCCCATTTCTTGAGGTTGGCTTTACATCTCGTGGTGCCAGAGCGCAGTCTGTTCAGCGCCTTCCAATTCGCCCAGTCTTTTGTGTTTCCAGGGGGGAGTCTCTTATTGGGTATCAGCCATGGATTGAAGTTCTGGGTTTGAGCCTGTCACTTTTGGACTCTTGCTTGCTGAGCTGTTCCAGTGAGTGTCTCTGTAGATCTTAGAAAACTATTTCTTGATTTAAGTCGTTGATGTGCTGGCTGATACCCAAACAAGGAATGAGCTGGAGATGTCACTGCCTTGGTCCTTTCACTATTGGTTGCTACTTCCCGGCGGATGTCAGGTGGTGCAATACCGGATAAGCAGTGTAATTTCTCTAGTGGTGTAGGGCGCAGACACCCCGTGATAATGCGGCATGTCTCATTAAGAGCCACATCCACTGTTTGAGCGTGGTGAGATGTGTTCCACACTGAGCATGCGTACTCAGCAGCAGAGTAGCTTAGCACAAGGGGAGATGTCTTCACATAGGTGTATATGTGTGTGTATACCTAGAGAGAGTGTCAAATGCATGTGTGGGTATGAATATCCTCTTATTTTCTATTGTTATATTATATTATTAATATGTATGCATATATGTGTGTGTATCTATATAAATAAAAATGTAATGTTAGTTTATGGGATTAACATAACTCAAAAACCACTGGACGAATTGACACCAAATTTGGACACAATACACCTATCAGGCCAACAAGTGACCATCACTCATAAAACACTGAATAACACAATGGAAGAGAATTTGAAAGCCCCCCAAAATACATTACAACGCATGCGCAAAACCACATATATATATATGTAAACACATATACACAAATATATACGCGCACACATGCACACACAAAGCACATATACACAGACTGGACCAGATTTTTTATTTTTTTTGCGTTTTGGAATATTTGTGTATCCATACTATGATATCTTGGAGATGGGCTTCAAGCCTCAACATGAAAGACATCTATGTTTCATTGATACCTCATACAGATAGTTTAAAGGTATTACCATTGAGAGTGATTATTTTTCATTGTTTTGGATTCCAGATAAGAGTTGCACAGTCTGGATAGTTATTGCTTAAGACTCCGATCTGTTGCTACGATTAATTTGAATTTATCTTGTTCAGATTATCCCTCCTTTAACCTGTGCCCCTTCCGCTTCCAGAATGTCCTCTTTTATGGTGTCGAGGTGGGAAACTGTGTTCTAAGTCACCCCAATGGATGCAGAGAGCGATGTTGCATTAGATATTTTGATCACCAACGTAGTCTGCGTCTTCCGAACAAGATGCCATTTAAACTTGAGAAAGATTGCATTAGAGGGAGCCAACGTGATCTATAAGCGTGATGTCGGGGTAAGTGACTTCACATTTCTCTTTGGGAGTTTTGACCTGTGGGGCATCACTCGTGTGATATGAATTTAATGTGTTTTTATCTTGTTAAGCCCCAATGCAGCAAAACATTTTCAGGATTTTGGTGATCTGGATTAATACAAATCTGGGCAGAAACCATTCTAAAAGCTCTTGCACTTAAGGTCAATACTAGCACTGCAAGGCATCGGTCATAATGTTTTTAAATGGGTCAAAAAAGCTGAACTTTCCCTGTGTTATTTGAATTTCTGCTCTTGTGTTAGGGTGTTGTCAGTAAGACAGCTCTGAGGAAAAGAATTCAAGAGTGCTGGGGGAAGGGGGATTCCAAAATATCCAAGTCTACAATCTATGTATGCCTCCTTAAAGTAAGGCACTGAATTCAATACAGCCTATATTAATATGTATACAGGATTGTAGCCTAAATGCAGTTTTCATGGGCAAAGGAATGTAGGGATTTGTATAGTGTTCTTTGCTCATTGCTTAGACTACTTTCTAGTACCATTTTTTGTGTGAAAATCACAACTTAGGGAAGTTAGGCAGTTTTCTCTATAGGCTATACTTCAGTTATTGCTAAATAATCATTTCATGCTCTGCAGAAGCAAAATATGCATCATAGTAACCAGTAACAGTCGATATTCAGAGTGTGAAATCTGCTGTAGAATATTGTTCTGTTAATGGGGGTTTGCCATGCCCAGATATTTGTTAAGAAGTCATCGTTCCCTCACAATCAATTCATTGTTCGCCCATTGTCAAGGAGTTGTATTGGCTCTTGTCCCGGTTAATTAAAATAATGGCTGTTGGAGATGTTTCCAGGGCTGAAATAGCTTTTTGTTGCAGAATACATACGTTGTCTGGGGAAGTGAGTTTGCTAATGGGTTAAAAGAGAAACCTTTTGCCATTTCCTGTTCTGATGTCATTCCCTGTCTGGTACTCTAAATATGTTTCTCATTGCCTCAGTTGAGAATAAGGAGAATGGCTTTCCCAGCTAGTCTGGGACTAAGGAAGGCAGATATATGAGTTTAAACTGCATTCCAGTAGTTCAGATTGTCAAGAGTAAAACAGCGCAAATCTCCCTCTGAAAAAAATTAGACATTGGTTCAGTTCTGAATTTTACTTGAATAGAATATGGTTATGGGGTGAGATTTGGTATTATTTTGACTTACAAAGGTTGAGCATCTCTTATTCCAAATCATTCACTTGAAGAAGTAGTGTTTTCTGGTGATTTGGTGTACACAAACCTGGTTTAAAGTTTTGTGTAAAATTACCATCAGGTTATATGTATGAGATGAACATGCTATAATTGCTATAATTGCTGTCGTTAACTGATGTTGTGTTTTTGCTGTCATGTAATGCGGGCATCGAATTGTGCCTTGCTTGTGTAAGCCACCCTGAGTCCCCTCCGGGGTGAGAAGGGCGGGGTATAAGCAACCGTAATAATAATAATAATAATAATAATAATAATAATAATAATAATAATAATAATAATATGAAACATGTGAATTTCATATTTAGGCTTGGGTCCCATTTCCAAAATAGCAGATTCTTACAGAATTTAACCCCTAATACAAGTATCATTTGTCGACATGTGACAAAACCTGCCCTCTCCAGGCATTTTCTAGGTCTTCCCATATTACTGAAATGTTACTGAACTTTGGGCTGAAATGGGCGGGATAAAAGTTATGTAAATAAATAATAACTCTAGTATTTTGGGGCCAGAGGTCCTTCAGTTCAATAGGGTCACTATTATTTACAGTTTTATATATCTGCATTGATTCCTGGGACCTGTTTTGTGTGTGTATATATATTTGCCTCTAAGTTGCTTGTCCAATAATATACATATGTGCAGTTATTCTAAAATAAAAAAAAAACTGAAATGCCAAACTTTTCTTTTCTCAGAGAAGGGATATTCAACATCTATTAACAATAACATTTTATGACGAAATTTTATAACAAAACTGTGTTATGTTGATATGCAGTTCAAGGTTTTTACATGAGGAAGTTTCTTCCATCTAAAATACCCTTTTCTTCTTCAAACTCATTTCAGAAAGTATTAATGAAGCTTAGGAAGCCCAGGATTACTGCAACCATTTGGTCCTCAGGGAAAGTAATTTGCACAGGAGCCACAAGGTACATTTCATTTGGATTGGTCCCTTTCTTGTAAAATCACCTGATTAAATGCTGAGCCTTGAGTCCATGATGCTTTAACCAGTTGTTTGTGTGTTTTTCATATCTAGTGAAGAAGAAGCTAAATTCGGAGCCAGACGATTAGCTCGCAGTCTACAAAAGCTAGGTTTTCAGGTAATTCTTCCAGTGAAATGAATCTGACTTCTAGAGGGCTGCTATTTTGATGTATTTTTAGAAAACCAGTTGACAAGGGGTGGTTCTGCACTGTAGAATTAATGCAGTTTGACACCACTTGAACTGTCAAACTCCATGCTATGGAATCCTGGGAGTTTGGTGGAGCAGCAAATTTTCTTCTTTACTTTGTTTTCTCCCTAGTCCCCTATTTTCTCTGTGGAATGAAGAGGCTTGGTTTTCTACCAGGAGAAAGAGGCAGTTTGCAGGAAGTACCCAGCGGCTGTTCTGCAATGATCTTGGAGAAAGAGGGTAATAGTGGATTCTTTGCTCGGAGGCAGGAGCAACACCACAAGCAGTTCTTGTGTCGTTGACACCTTATCAGTAGATCTTTTCCGTATTGCTGCTTCACCAAACATCCAGGCGTTGTGTTGTTTCTGACGTATAGCAACCCCAAAGTGAACCTGTCACAGGGTATATCCTGTGGGCCTTAGGGGAGGGAAGACACTTTGGGGATATTTCCAGGTAAAAGCTTAGTGAGTGAGTCAGGGTCATAGTTTGAGAACCTGATTGACAGTTTTTGTTGTTGTTGAAGTAATGCAAGTAATTCCTGTTGGTTAGTGCAACACATTTGTTCCTTGTCAGCTTGCACAATGCTGTGTGAAAAAGGCTATAATAATAAAAGGTTACTGGGCTACATGACTCATATTGCTGCCGTTCTCTATAGATACGATGAAAATAAAATGGAGGCCTGCTCTTTATTTGCGATAGAAAGTGAATGTGGTCAATGTGAGCTAGTGGGCTGGAGTGGTTTGAGTGTTGGCACTAAGACTCAAGCTTAAATCTCCACTCAATTATAGAACCCAATGGGATGACAAGCTCTCCCATCCCGGGTGACCTTGGACAAGGCACCTTCTCAGTTTCAGAGGAAGGCAAAAGCAACCCGCTCTGAACAAGTCTTACCAGGAAAACTTCGAGAGATATTGTCTTAGGGTTGGCATACCTGGAAATGCCTAGAAGGCACGCTATGGCAATTTTCTTATATTTTGATACGGTTTTGGGAATTTATTATTATTCAAAAGACCATTGACTGGGGGAATGGAAGACTAATTTGGACTGTGAGATGTGGCAAGTTTTACGAATAGAACTGACTTCCAATTTACTTCTTTGTGTTAAAAGGACCTTTTTGGGGTTTAAGTCTATTCTGGGCTTAAAATGGCTAGGGTGGGAGAATATTGTGCTGAAATTGACCTCTTTCCTCTTGAGACACATTTTTCTTTAATGTTGTTAGAAGTCTAAAATAGGTGGTGGTTGTGTTGTGGCAGGTAGATGTGGAAGTAGCATGTTGGTTGGTTCCTTGTTTTCCCTTTGCCTTGCTGCACAGGAATATTCTTTGCTGAGAGAGGAACAATATTGCTTTGTCGAAGGCTTTCATGGCCGGAATCACTGGGTTGTTGTAGGTTTTTTCAGGCTATATGGCCATGTTCTAGAGGCATTTTCTCCTGACGTTTCGCCTGCATCTATGGCAAGCATCCTCAGAGGTAGTGAGGATGCTTGCCATAGATGCAGGCGAAACGTCAGGAGAAAATGCCTCTAGAACATGGCCATATAGCTCGAAAAAACCTACAACAACCCAACAATATTGCTGTCTTTGAGGGATCTATATTGCTGTTGTAAATACATACTGTATAACTTTTGGTTAAGGTTTCTTTGTTTTGAAATAGGAACCTCCAAACCAAGGCTACATTACAATATTTCCTACTATTTGGGGACATTATGGATTACTGACAGCCATTGAGCCACTTAGAATAAACTTTGTAAAGCTGATCAGTTGAATTAAAGTCAATATATTTTCGTCAACTGGACATTAGTTTTCTTTACAGAAAGATTCTTGTAGGAAAGACTGCATTCTGGCTAAAGTTACTTGTTTTAGGGCAAATCTTTTCTACTGCTTAAATCAGGGATCCACAAACTTTTTAAACAGAGGGCCAGGTCACAGTCCCTCAAACTGTTGTTGGGACAGATTATAATTTGAAAAAAACTTGAATAAATCACTCTGCACACTACACATATCTTATTTATAGTGCAACCCCCCCCCCCCACTCAAAAACCAATACAATAATTAAAATGAAGAACAGTGTTAATAAATATGAACTTATTCGTATTTCAATGTGAAGTTTGGGTCTGTTGTTGTTGTTGTTGTTGTTGTTGTGTGCTTTCAAGTCATTTCAGACTTAGTTTGACCCTGAGTGAGGGGTGGGTAAAAGACCTTGGAGGGCCGTATCCAGCCCCCGGGCCTTAGTGTGAGGACCCCTGGCTTAAATCAATGCACTTAGAGCCATTTAGTTGTAGGCCAGGGCTGCTCAAACCTGTATGATTTGAGGCTACAGCTCTGGGAATCCCTAACCACTGAGCAATTTGGCTGCGGCTTGTGGGAACAGGCATCGGAAACACTTGGAGACCCAGATTTGAGAAGCACTGCTTTAGGGGTGCACTGCTCAAGTGACCGCCTGTTGAGCAAGCCGTTTCAATTCTTCTGCCTTTGTACAAAAAGGCCACTGACTTCTTCTCCAACAATGTTGTCCCAATAGGGACAGAGCTGATTCAAAGCTTTCCCCATGTTGTTGTTTGGTGTCATGTTGTTTCTGAATTATAGCCACCTTAAATGTTATTTTGTTATTATATTCATGTGTGTGTGTGTTTTTAATGTAACTTTGATGATGTTGCTTGTTGTTTATGCTGCTAATCAGTTTCCGAGCGCAATTCAACGTGACCTTTATCATGCCAAATCGAAGTACTGGTGTTGACCTATAAAGCCCTAAACGACTCCGGCCCAATTTACCTGTCTGAATGGATTCTCCCCTATGAACCATCAAGGTTATTAAGATCTTCTGAGGGGCCCTGCTCTCAGTCCCACCACCCTCGCAATCGCGTCTGGTGGGGACGAGGGACAGGGCCTTCTCGGTGGTGGTTCCTCGGCTCTGGAACTCTCTCCCACTGGAGATTAGATCTGCCCCTTCTCTCCTGACTTTTAGAAAGCTGGTGAAAGTTTGGCTCTGGAATTTAGCATTCGATGAGTGAGTCAATAACTCTTGACCACACGGACAGATGGTGATGATTTGTGATTTCATTCTGATGACTTGGCCTTATGTAATTATATGATTGTATTTTAATGTATTTTATGTATTAGTGCATTATGTGATGTGATATTTTAAACTATTGTTTATGAATCCTTTGTTGAGTCCCTCTGCGGAGGTTGAGAAGACCGGTATATAAAAGTTATAAATAAATAAATAAATAAATAAAATTATGTTTTGGTTTTATTTTGATGTAATATGTTGTTCAGGCTTGGCCCCATGTAAGCCGCTCCGAGTCCCCATTTGGGAGATGGTGGCGGGATATAAATAAAGTTTTTTATTATTATTATTATTACTAAAATGAAGTGAACCTGTCACAGGGTTTTCTTAGCAAGATTTCTTGGGAAGGGGTTTGCCATTGCCTTCTTCTGAGAGAGACTGATTTGCCCAAGGCCACCCCGTAGGTTTCTGTGTCCAAGCCATGATAGGAATCTTGAACTTCCAAAGCCCTAGTTGGCTTGTCTGCTGGTCAGGCATTCTGGGAGCTGAAGGGCAAAACACCTGGAGGGCCACAGGTGTCACAGTGCTGTCCCAGGGCAATATTGAAACCTCTAGAGCAGGCATGGGCAAACTTTGGCCCTCCAGATGTTTTGAACTTCAACTCCTACAATTTCTAACAGCCAGTAGGCTGTTAGAAATTGTGGGAGTTGAAGTCCAAAACACCTGGAGGGCCGAAGTTTATTGCTGCCGGCACTAGACCATGTTACCTATTGCAGGATTAAGAATTATGATTTGGTTACTTATTGCTGGATTAAGAATAATGATTTGGTTAGCTATTGCTGGATTAAGAATAATGATCTCGGAACGGTTGGACAATGTTTCTGGACAATGACTGATTAATGAAATGCGGAGGACTTATGGTTTTTTATTATGTTTATTGATGTTAATTGTAATTAATGTATTGTCGAAGGCTTTCATGGCTGGAATCACTAGATTCTTGTGGGTTTTTTCGGGCTATAGAGCCATGTTCTAGAGGCATTTCTCCTGACGTTTCGCCTGCAGTTACCTCTGAGGATGCTTGCCATAGATGCAGGTGAAACGTCAGGAGAAATGCCTCTAGAACATGGCTCTATAGCCCGAAAAAACCCACAAGAACTTAATTGTAATTATTTTTTATCTATGTTAAATGTTTTTAATGTTTAAACTATTTTTGTATTGTTGTGGGCATCGAATTGTGCCTTCTTGTAAATTGCCATGAGTCGCCCTCGGGCTGAGAATGGCAGTATAGAAGCGTAGTAAATAAATAAATAAATATCTTGTATTACTCATGCTATGTGCCGCAAGTCTCGAAATAGTAGATAGGGCTATAGCGCTATTGGAAAAAGTAACCTACAAATTGATAGAAGGGGGAAGTAAACGAAGACCTCTTTGAAAATACATGGAAGCCATTTAACAGCCACATGTACAAAAGTAATAGACTTTGCGCATGTAGCTAATGGCCAATAAAAAATAGAAAAACATATCCCCCATGCTGTTTAATATCTACATGAAGCTGCTGGGTGAGATCATCCGGAGTTTCGGGGTGTGGTGTCATCTGTACGCAGATGATGTCCAACTCTGTCACTCCTTTCCACCTGCTACTAAGGAGGCTGTCGAGGTCCTGAACCGGTGCCTGGCCGCTGTAATGGTCTGGATGAGGGCGAACAAATTGAAATTGAATCCAGACAAGACAGAGGTACTCCTGGTCAGTCGCAAGGCCGAACAGGGTATAGGGTTACAGCCTGTGCTGGATGGGGTCGCACTCCCCTTGGGTGTGATCCTGGATTCATCGCTGACCAGGGGAGCATTTGCACAGCTTAGGCTCGTGCGCCAGCTGCGCCCGTACCTCAGGAGGTCTGACTTGGCCACGGTGGTACACGCTCTGGTCACATCCCGCCTTGACTACTGCAACGCTCTCTACGTGGGGCTGCCCTTGAAGACGGCCCGGAAGCTTCAGCTAGTCCAGCGCGCGGCAGCCATGTTACTAACTGGAGCGGGACGCAGGGAGCACACAACGCCCTTGTTGTACCAGCTCCATTGGCTGCCGATTTGCTACCGGGCCCAATTCAAGGTGCTGGTGTTAGCCTACAAAGCCCTAAACGGTTCCGGCCCAAAATACCTTTCGGACCGCATCTCGGCCTATGAGCCCTCGAGGGCCTTAAGATCGTCCGGGGAGGCCCTTCTCTCGATCCCGCCTGCCTCACAGGCACGCCTGGTGGGGACGAGAGAGAGGGCCTTCTCGGTGGTGGCCCCCCGGCTGTGGAACACTCTCCCTGTAGACATCAGACAGGCGCCCTCCCTTATGTCTTTTCGTAAAGGCTTAAAGACATGGCTATTCGAGCAGGCATTTAATTAAATGCTACAATTAGTTTTGGCAAGACAACTGGAACGGAATTTGGATTATGAGCTTGGCTATGATTCTACTATGAGACGGAGCGGATCATTTAGTGTAATTATATAATTGTTGTATTGTGGATATGCTGTTTTGTATTGCCTTTTGTAATTTGCCTTTTATATGTTGTACACCGCCGCGAGTCGCCCTAGGGCTGAGAGCGGCGGTCAACAAATGCACCAAATAAATAAATAAATAAATAAATAAATATCACAACAATTATATGTAATGGAGTAAAAAACTGAAAACAAGCTATGTGAATCTGGGAGTAGTCAGTATAACAATGTAATTGTAACATGTTAATTTTTTTAATTAAATTTTTAAAAAAAAATTAAAATAAGAAAAAAGATATTTAAAATGTTCATGCACTTGGAAACTTTTATTACCCTGTTATAAGCCAAGGATATTCTAATATATATAGCACTGGTGCTGTATTTTTGGGCAATCAAATATCAGAAGAAATTGTAGTTGAAATGGGATAAAGTTTGTCTGAAGGATTTTCTTTTAAGGAAGTTTAAATAGCCTTTAATCACTTACTCTTTGTTTTTTTTTCCCGTTAAAGGTGATTTTTACAGATTTTAAAGTTGTGAACGTTTTAGCAGTGTGCAACATGCCCTTTGAAATCCGATTGCCCGAATTCACAAAAAACAACCGGCCACATGCCAGGTACAGTAGAACTTAAATCCACCTCAGTCCTCTTCAGTTTGTGCCTTTATTTTATAGCTCGGTTTTTGAAATGGATTTTTTTTTTTCTTAGCTATGAGCCAGAGCTTCACCCTGCTGTGTGCTACAGAATAAAATCCCTCAGAGCGACTCTACAGATTTTCTCAACAGGAAGTATCACAGTGACAGGTATTTGCCCTGTTTTGTGTGTGAATGAGTAACCTTTATCATGCCAAATCTCCAGTAATTAAGCGGTTTTGTAGAACAGGGTAATTTCTGTGTATAGTTCTCTTCTGACAAAGCTATAGCAGTAGATTATATCTAGCAAAAGGTTTGGAATCTCGTTCTGTGGGCAGGAGAGGACCATGTAACAAATTGTATTCTCACACATTTCAGCGAATTTGCTCCATGAATTTTAATTAGAGTATGTTATTTGAGAGAGCCAGCATGGTTTGAGCATCAGGAGACCAGGATTCAAATTCCTCTCAGCTATGGAAACCCACTAGGTCAGTGGTTCTCAACCTGGGGTTTACCAGCTATTAGGATTTCTGGGAGTTGGAGGCCAAAAACATCTGGGGACCCCAGGTTAAGAACCACTGTACTAGGTGATCCTGGGCAGGCCCCGCTCTCTCAACCTGAGTAAAGCAAAGGCAGCCTCCTTTAAGTAAATTTCACTAAGAAAATCCCATGATAGGTTTGCTTCAGGGTTATTATAGGTGATAAAGAAGGAGAAGGTGTGCAACGATACATATTGACTAACATACAGTATATAGATCCTCCATTTTAATTTTAATTAATTGGAGCCATGAAGTGGACCCAGCAGTAGTTTCTATGAGAAGATAATAATAATAATAATAATAATAATAATAATAATAATAATAATAATCATCATCATCATCATCATCATCATCATCATCATCATCATCTTTATTTATGCTCGGGGCTGCTAACATGAGGCCAAGCCCAAAATTACAGTGCAGCAAAATAAAATACACAGAAGCAAAAATACCATCAAAATAGATACATGAAATAACAAAATAAAATAAATAGTTTCAAAGTAACATACTATAGAAATAGAACACAATAGAGAAATAGAAAGCAATGAGATGATGGTTGTGTATGGGGAGCAGAGACCTCCTAGGTGAGTTGAAGCTTATTTGCGTGCAGTTAGATTTTGAAGATGATAATAATATTAATAATAATGTTTATTTGTAGCCTGCTTTCTCCCTCCAAAGTGGCTTACATCAAAAACATTTCATTACAATTTAAAATCTACAAATATACAAACATTAAAACAGAATTGAATGTCATTCGTATTTTAAAAATCAGTCAAAATCCATAAAAATATATTCAAAACTTCAAACCACAGCAGCCCCTGACTTGATCTTAAAACTTCCTTTGCTGGTGACAACGGTTTCCTAAATGTTCTGCTAGGTTGGGAGTGGTATGCTGTGGAATAAATGTTCATTCCAGGAATGCTGTGGGGCTTTCTTTCCTCAGTATGCATTCCCTGCAACTACAGGGAATGCAAGGGGGGGGGGGGGGGAGAGAGAAAGAGAGGATGTTTACTATATAGATGTCTGGCCTGGTCTTGGCTTTCAGTTTTTGAGGGAGAAAGTTGGGATATTAGTCTTATACTATTGTGTGTGCATATATATTCTTCAGAAAGCACTAGACCAGGGCTTCTCAACCTGTGGGTCCCCAGGTGTTTTGGCCTACAACACCCAGAAATCCCACCCAGTTTAATAAATGACTGCTTTGAGTCCCCCCACGGTTGAGTAAGGTGGTATATAAATACTGTAAATAATAATAATAATAATAATAATAATAATAATAATAATAATAATAAATAAATAAACCAGCTGTTAGAATTTCTGGGTGTTGAAGGCCAAAACATCTGGGGACCCACAGGTTGAGAACCACTGTGCTAGACTGTTCCTGCTACCACACACAGTGCAGGATGAAGCACTGAAAACTGGATTTGTTGCCATGGTTGGACCCCCTTTTTCTATTTTTTTGGACATTGATTGTGATCATAGTTATTTACAGTTAGTTCTCTGTATCTATGGATTTGAAATCCATATATTCAAACATCTATGGCTTTCAAAAGCATATATTAAGAAAAGACACAAGAAAGGAGATTCCATCTGAACATGAGGAAGAACTTCCTGACTGTGAGAGCCGTTCAGCAGTGGAACTCTCTGCCCCGGAGTGTGGTGGAGGCTCCTTCTTTGGAAGCTTTTAAACAGAGGCTGGATGGCCATCTGTTGGGGTGATTTGAATGCAATATTCCTGCTTCTTGGCAGAATGGGGTTGGACTGGATGGCCCATGAGGTCTCTTCCAACTCTAGGATTCTATATAAGGAATAACCTTTTACTATGCCTTAATGAGACATGGATTTTGCGATCCACGTAGAGTCCTGGAACCAAGCCCCAGCAGATACGGAGGACCCACTATATTAATCTAGTCTTTCCCCCAGTGTTGGGACTCAAGGCAGCATAGAAATATAAAAAGAGATCCAAACAAAAGTTCACGTCACAAAACTATACTAGAACAAGACTGATAACAATCCAACTAATTGTCAATAGAATTGAAAGCAATGTAAAAGCAGACTCATGTCAGAGAGATGAACAAACAGAGCTTTATAATTGAATTAGGAGACGTGTCAAATTCCGCCCGCTTCAGTTGCTCAAAATAAAAGTGAGCCATATCTAAGGTGGCTGTTTATAGCTCTCTGTTACCAACATTCTTAAGTCGTTGATGGCATTAAGCATTATCCCTTGGGTTGAGCTCTTGTGGTGCTAAGTAAGGCCTTACGTCTGTAGATCCAGAAAGTCTTGCATCCAAAGTGCTTGATACGGTGCTCCTTGCTTGCTTTTAAATCACACAAACAGAAATAATGTATCACATAATTAAAAGCCCTACCTTTCTCAATAATGAGTCTGTTTCTAAAGGCCTGTTGAAACAAAATAAATAAATAAATCTGATGGCTGGAATCACTGGGTTGTGTGTTTCCCAGGCTGTCGGGTCATGTTCCAGAAGCATTCTCTCCTGACATTTTGCCTGCATCTGTGGTAGGAACCCTCGGAGGTTGAGAGGTTTTCACTGTCCGCCTTGATGCTTTCTCATGTTTTCCTCCCTCTGTTTCTCCTCAGGGCCAAACGTAAAGACGGTGGCTACGGCAGTGGAGCAGATCTATCCGTTTGTGTTTGAAAGCAGGAAAGTGATTTTATAAGCGGGCCCGTTCCTGGCGAGGCGAACTGAGGCAAGCACCTTTGCTAAGACTGCCGCAGGTTGGACTCTAAAGCAGAATTGAGGGCAGAAAGAGAAAGGCCGCTGGACCAACTCAGCTGAGAAAAGAGGGAGATGGAGAGCGGTGCCCAGCTTGGCCCCAGTGAGACACCCCCGTCCCTTTGGGGATTTTTATTTTGAACAGTGCTGTATTGTAAAAAAAACAAAACAAAAAAACCACACAAAAGTTTACAAAGTTCATGAAAATTGCTGCTTTTTACAGGACGTTTCTATTTATTTCTGCAGTAATTTCTGTGTGTTTGTAAGCGGAATTTTGTCATGATATGCACTAACTCTGGAAACACGTCGTTTAGGTTGGGCTTGTGTTTTTATTATTTGTGAATAAATTAGTCTTTTACATTTTTTTTTGTACGCTGATGACCGTTGGGCACCAAAGAAGCTTTAGATGTTAACCTTTTTTTTTTTAAACCGGAAAAAATGCACAAAAAATAATTAAAACATCGACAAAACTTATTCCCACTCCCTCACTTATCCCTCTTCTGTTACATTCCTCCTCCTTTTTTTTCTATTATCAGTTGTATATTAGTCACTAGAGCAGCGTTAGCGTAATCCTTTGCTTCTCTTTTATTCCTGTTTTTGTGCATAAAGTGATCCGTAGCAGGCTTAGGCTGAACTGAACGACAGATAGGTTTGTATTTTCCAGGTGCAGAACTCGTTTTAACTGCAGTATATTTGTAACTAAACGCCACATTTGGGTGACTCTTCCTTTTGTGCTAAACACGAATGTACTCTGCAGGCTTTCGTTGGCCGCTGTGTTCCTTGGCAAAGAGTTAAACAAGCACTTGGTCTTCTTTGTAAAATCGCTCAAGTTGTACCCTGTTTGCAGTTCAAGTGTAAAGTTCGTTTGATTTTAACGCTGTGTTGAGAAATTACTTCTAGAGACTGATGTAAACATTCAGGAAAAAACAGAAGTATTTTCCATCACCTGAAAACTATTTTTAAAGATCTCTCCATGTTTTTTTTGCCAAATATTGCGATCGTAGTGTTAGTTATTCTAGTTTAAAAAACGCTAACAAGCAAAAAAAGTAAAAGGAGAAGGAAAAAAAAAGCCCTTTTCCAGCTTTGGCGTGTCATCTTGGATCTTGGAGAAGCCAATGTTGTGTGCTTTGGGCTCATCTGCGCACGGAACAGATGCGTAAATTTTAAGTGAAACCAATGCTACTCTTGCCAATAAATCTGTAAAAACCAGGCGGTGGGTCTTTCCCCCGCCGAAGCCTTCCAGAGGCGGATGGAAAGTGGATTTAGATATCGCAGATAGTATGCATTCAGCTGCCAGTTTTGCACTTCGGATTGAAATAAACTCAGTGGAGTCCTGTAAATAAAAGTTCTATTGAAACCATGTCTTTATTTGAAAAGGATGTGTTTTATGTAATCACTAGCCGTCCTCTGCCACACATTGCTGTGGCCCACATGGGGGTTCTGTGTGGGAGGTTTGGCCCAGTTTTATCGTTGGTGGGATTCAGAATGCTCTGTGATTGTAGGTGAACTATAAATCCCAGCAACTACAACTCCCGAATGTCAAGATTCTATTTTCCCCAAACTCCACCAGTGTTCACATTTGGGCATATTGAGTATTCGTGTAGAGTTTGGTCCAGATCCATCAATGTTTAAGTCCACAGTCATATTTGGATGTAGGTGAACTACAACTCCAAAACGAAAGGACACTGCCCACCAAACCCTTCCAGTATTTTCTGTTGTTCATTGGAGAACTGTGTGCTAAGTTTGGTTCAATTCCATCGTTGGCGGGTTTCAGAATGCTCTTTGATTGTAGGTGAACTATAAATCCCAGCAACTACAACTCCCGAATGTCAAGATTCTATTTTCCCCAAACTCCACCAGTGTTCACATTTGGGCATATTGAGTAGTAGAGTTTGGTCCAGATTCATCATTGTTTGAGTCCACAGTGATCTCTGGATGTAGGTGAACTACAACTCCAAAACCAAAGGACATTCCCCTCCAAACCCTTCCAGTATTTTGTGTTGGTCATGGGAGAACTGTGTGCCAAGTTTGGTTCAATTCCATCGTTGGTGGGGTTCGGAATGCTCTTTGATTGCAGGTGAACTATAAATCTCCCAAATACCTCTCCCAAATGACAAAATCATTTTTTTTTGAGTGAAGGACATACATTGGATTGTTAGGTGTCTTGTGTCCAAATTTGATGCCAATTCATCCAGAGGTTTTTGAGTTCTGTTAATCCCACAAACGAACATTACATTTTTATTTATCCAGATATATTCTGAGATAATTACAGAAGGGCAAAGGGAATGAGCGCCCATGGGGTCAAGTGCGTTTTGAGAAGCTGTTAGATGAAACACATTACCTGGACCTGTTTCAGGCCAACATATAGTTTCAGGAGAAGCTTGCGATGCATCTACGTGGTAAAATTAATGCAGTTAGACCAGGCCTGGGCCAACTTTGGCCCTCCAGGTGTTTTGGACTTCAACTCCCACAATTCCTAACAGCCTACCGGCTATTAGGAATTGTGAGAGTTGAAGTCCAAAACACCTGGAGGGCCAAAGTTGGCCCAGGCCTGATATAATGCTACTACATGACCTTCTGGCAAACGAACTAGTCCAATATGGGCTAGGCAAAACTACGGTGAGGTGGATCTGTAATTGGTTAAGTGGACGAACCCAGAGGTGATTCTCCCCAAGGCTTCCTCTTCATCCTGGAAAGAAGTGACGAGTGGAGTGCCATCCGCAGGGTTCCGTCCTGGGCCCGGTCCTGTTCAACATCTTTATTAATGACTTAGATGAAGGCTAGAAGGCAGGATCATCAAGTTTGCAGACGACACCAAATTGGGAGGGATAGCCAATAGTCCAGAGGACAGGAGCAGGATTCAAAAATCTTGACAGATTAGAGAGATGAAGGGCCAAAACTAACAAAATGAAGTTCAACAGGGACAAATGCAAGAGACTCCACTTTGTTTTTTTTTTTTAATATTTTTTTATTGATTTATCACATTTATTACATACTATTGCATTTTGTACATCATCCTCTTTAACATGTTGTTTAGTTGTTTTGCTTTGACATTTCCCCCCCCCCCTTTTCTCTTTTTTCCTTTTTCACCACAGTGCTCCCCTCCACCCGTCTCAAGCCACCATTCTTACATTTCATCTGTCCAAAATTTCATTTCTTCTTGTGACGGTAATTTTCCTTCCTTATTTTTTAATCCATTTACCACAAATCTTCCCCATACAGCATCAAAATCGCTTTGTTTCCATATACCTTTTTTAACCTTTAATATACATGTCAATTTATCATTTATTGCTATTTTCCACGCTTCCTTATACCACTCCTCTATTTGTATATTCATTTCTTTTTTCCAATTCCTTGCTATAAGCAGTCTTGCTATAGTTAGTAAGTTTGTTATCGCTTCTTTATCCTCCTTTTTCAATTGCTTATTGTTATATAATGATAGTAAGGCTATACTAGGACTTTTATCTATTTTTATATTCATTATAGTTTCTATTTCTCTAAATACTTTCTCCCAAAAATTATTTACATATTTACATTGCCAACACATGTGTATATATGTTCCTGGTTCTTGACACCCTCTCCAACAATTTATTGAGTTATTTTTATTCATATATGCTATTCTTACTGGTGTCAAGTACCACTTCCATATTAACTTATAATAATTTTCTTTAACTCGTATCGATAAATTTTTTAAATGTCTTTGTCCCCATAATTGTTGCCGCTCTATTTCACTTATTTTTATCCCTAAATCCTCTTCCCAAATCTCCTTAAGGGTACACTTTTTTGTTTTTTCATCCTTCATTTCAATTAGTATCTTATAAATTTTGCTAATTATACCTCTCAAGTTTTCGTGTTCTTCTACAGCCCTTCCCTTCTGTATTATTTGTTCGAATTGATTGAGTTGGCTTCCACTTCTATTATTTTTTTTCCAGTTTATTAACCATTGTTCTAATTGTATACAATGAAACCATGACAATTTTATTTCTTTAAACTCTTCCAACATCATTTCCCTCTTCATTTCCACCTTCATCCAATCCCCTATCCTATCTAAGATTTATTTCCCTTACCTTTTTATCCATTACTTTTTTTAAATTTTTGGGAACTTCTTTTCCATCACTATTGGGGTTATAATTGATCCCTCCTTTATTAACCTCCCCTTATATTTATTCCATACTTTCAGTATGTTGCTCAGCATTGGGTTTCTAATTTCCCTCATTTCTTTTCTAGTAAACTGTTTAAAAATACTCAGTTCTTGTGGGTTTTTTCGGGCTATATGGCCATGTTCTAGAAGCATTTCTCCTGACGTTTCGCCTGCATCTATGGCAAGCTTCCTCAGAGGTGAGGTCTGCTGGAGCCGGGAAAAAAGGGGGTTTATATATCTGTGGAATGACCAGGGTGATACAAAAGGCTTTTGTAAGTTGGGCTAGGTGTGAATCTTTTCAACTGACCACCTTGATTAGCATACAATGGGCTGACTGTGCCTGGAGCAAACTCTTCTTGAAAGGTGATTAGATGTCCCTGCCTGTTTTTCTCTCTGCTGTTTTAATTTTAGAATTTTTAATACTGGTAGCCAGATTTTGTTCATTTTCATGGTTTCTTCCTTTCTGTTGAAATTGTCCACATGTTTGTGGATTTCAGTGGCTTCTCTGTGTAGTCTGACATGGTGGTTGTGAGAGTGGTCCAGCATTTTTGTGTTCTCAAATAAAATGCTGTGTCCAGGTTGGTTCATCAGGTGCTCTGCTATGGCTGACTTCTCTGGTTGAAGTAGTCTGCAGTGCCTTTCATGTTCCTGGCTTCTTGTTTGGGCGCTGCGTTTGGTGGTCCCTATGTAGACTTGTCCACAGCTGCATGGTATACGGTAGACTCCTGCAGAGTGAGAGGATCCCTCTTGTCCTTTGCTGAACGTAGCATTTGTTGGATTTTCTTGGTGGGTTTGTAGATTGTTTGTATGTTGTGTTTCCTCATCAGCTTCCCTATGCGATCAGTGGTTCCCTTGATGTATGGCAGGAACACTTTTCCTCTGGGTGGATCTTCATCTTTACTCTCGTGGCTTGTTCTTGGTCTTGCAGCTCTTCTGATGTCTGAGGTGGAGTATCCATTGGCCTGGAGAGCCCAGTTGAGGTGGTTCAGTTCATCTTGAAGGAGGTGGGGTTCGCAGATTCTTTTTGCACGGTCTGCCAAGGCTTTAATGGTGCTTCTTTTTTGACTTGGGTGATGGTTGGAGTTTTTATGTAGATATCTATCTGTGTGTGTGGGTTTTCTGTAAACGGTGTGACCCAATTGTTGATCTGGTTTGCGGATGACTAGGACATCTAGAAAAGGCAGTCTTCCTTCCTTTTCTTTTTCCATAGTGAACTGGATGTTAGGGTGGATGCTGTTAAGATGGTCCAGGAACCTGTTGAGTTCTTCATCTCCATGGCTCCAAATGGTGAAAGTGTCTAAAATATAAAATATAAAATACTAAATATTAAAATAAAAAGTGTTTAAAAAATATATTCCAAATTTCATCTTCCACTTTTCCTGAATCATTACTAAGCCAATCTATTCCCTCTTTTTTAACCATTCCTTCTATAACCAAACTTAATCTACTTGCTTCATAATATTTTTTTATATTAGGTAGCGCTAGTCCACCCTCCTTTTGCGATCTGTACCATAACTGTTTATTTAGTCTGTTTCTTTTACTTCCATTACAGTACTTATTAATCATTTGTTGCCATCTAGTTAGTTCTTCTTCTGTAATTTGAAGTGGTAGCATCCTAAATATGAAATTTATTTTTGGAAGTATTTTCATTTTTACTAATGCTATTCTTCCAAACCAGCTGGACGCTCCGTGCACCCATTACTATCGGGTGAGTTAGGCTGAGGGCTGACTTGGGAAAGATCTATCCATCTGGAGCCCAGCCGGGTGGTAGCTCCTCCAGAACTCTAGGAGGCGCTGCCCCTGCGACGCAACTCTTCGAGAACCTCCCCGCAATTCCATCGTGGGTGGAGGCCCCCCAGTATTTTTGCTGTGTTATAGCTGCTATTATTTACCAACGACTGTCGCCGTGAGCTGTTACCATCATTACCATCTTCATCCGCCGCTAGTCCGGAAGAAAATGAATTGAACATCAAATTACCATCTTAATATCAGATTGTTGAACTACTGGAGTCATCTCACCTAACTTTCCTTGTTGGGATTATAATTGCCGTCAGTGGGGGATTTATACCTTTACCCCTTGACCCTCCCGCTCCAAGTCTGTTGTACTGGGGGGGGGGCAATAGAAGGACTATATTTAGTAACGAACTGAGGACCGTATCGCTGTTGTATTGTCATCATAAGAACCGAGCCGTTCCTACCCAATGCTACCAGTCCTCAAT